AGGTGTGGGTCTTTTGTGATATGGTAAAGCTGTTATTGGTTTCCAATATTTACCATAAGCTATTCTATTTATGGTTTCAGAAATAGGGGTAGTATCCATAAATGTTTTTTCTTGATTCTGGATAGTATCTTCTATAATTGGTTCTTCTTCCTGAAGCATCATTGTCTCATGCTCAGGTAATATTGCTTTGCCTTTGTCAGAAGACTCAGGTGTTTGCATATTTGAAGGAGGAATAGTTATTATGGGAGAAGGTATTCCTTTAATATCTAACTGAGATAATTTTGATATTAATTGATCCATGAGGGATTTGTTATTGTCTCCAATGTGAAATTTATTTTTATTTAATTCTGGAGGTGGTTTGAACAAAACTGATTTAGGAATGTGTGTAGCAGAAGGCTTTTCTTTTGAAACAATTCTTTCTGCTTGTCTTCCTAAAGATTGCATATATAAATTTGTATAATTATTCTGTTCTACAATATGAGGAATTAATTCCTGTTTCTTACCAAGCTCTTTGGGTAAGATTTTATAAGGAGTGGCTACTATATCATATAGTGATTGAGGCTGTGCAGGTTCATCCTTGACTGGGATGGCTGCTTTGAGTATTAGACTCTTTTCAGGATGGTGTATACTTGCTGTGGTAGTACCATCCGTACTAATATAGGTTTTTTCTTCTATTGTTTGAATGTTATCAAATGAGGGAATAGTAATATGGTATTGAATACATATTTCCCTTAACCATATAAAAAATCCTTTCTGTAATCTTTCTTTTTTCAGGAATTTATTATATTTTTTATGCATTAATTCTTGTAATCTAGGTTGAAATGTTGTTAAATACCATTCTCTAATATGTTTATTTTCTTCAGATAAATAATCTTGTTTGATAATATCTTTATTTACTTTTCTCCTTTTCCTTTCTAATTTAGCTGCTAAATAAGCTGCTATATATTCATCTGAATATTGATCATCGTTATAATTATCATCTTCTATTTGTAAGGTTAATATTTGGAAATCTTATAATTCTTCTATACTGGGTTCAGTAGTATTTGTTATATTAGATTCAGGAGTATATGTAGGAATCACAACATGATCTGTTGTTCTTCGTGTTCCTTGAAATTGTAACTCTGAACTGGGTATTGATGAAGAAGATTGAGTAGGAGGAGGTAATATTATAACCTTTGGATTATTAGAATAGGATTTTCTACTTGGTATTTTATTTTTTATATTCCTTTTTCTATTAATATTAATATCATCTTGTACGTGTAATTGTTGAAATTTTATTTCAATATTACCATCAGGATGTTCAATTATTTGATTAGGAATATGATGTTGAGGAATTTCTTGGGGTTGATTGGCATTTTGTAAGGCCCATGATTGTGGTAAAATAATATCAGACCATTTTATTGTCTTAGGAACAATTATATTAGATTTGTCCATATTTGTTTGGAATAGTATGGTTTGATCCTTTTGATCAATTTTCATAATATTTGGACATAAAGTATTCATGACTTTATAGTATATTCTATAATCTATTGCTAGGTTTTGAGAACCTTGGATCATATTAAAGCCATTGGTTTTTAGATTTATCGTTAGTATATCTAAAATGTTTGGGTCAGTTAAAGAAACAAAAAAATTAGGAAAACAATTAAAATATATTGGACCACTACAGAAGCTGGATTCAACCATGCCAAGTAGCGAGTCTGTAAAAATATTGTGTCTTGTATCTCTTAGGCATACAAGCACAGAGGTGTTCAACCCTAAACGGGTCAAAGGTTTCACGGCTATTTGGATTAAACCGATATGTAAATATTTGTAATTATTTTCTTTGTGTTTTTCAATAACTTTCTTTGATAGTAGTTGAAAGTCTTCTTGGTTTTGAGTAACCGACAAACTTTCTTCTACTGTCTTGATGGCATAACCCATCTTAAATTTAAATGATCCTTTATTATAAATGTCATGGATTGGTACTTTTGGAATGTTCCAATTCTGGATATTTTCTTCAATATCATTGATGATTATTTGTTCCTTATTTTTTACCCTAAGTTTTTGAGATGAAGATGCAGATTAACTTGTCAGATTCCTTATTAGATTTGCCATCCGTAGGTTTCGGATAATGACAATCTGGACATTCAGTGGCCTAGCGTTTTCCCTAAGCGGCTCTTTCTGGCCTTGGCGGTACTTTGCAATAGGCTTTCACTTGTCTCTTGACTTAACTCTCGGACCAACTTTCTTGGTGGCAAATCTAACTTAGTTTCTGTAAGTAAGAATGTAACTTTATCTCTTAAAACTTATTTAGTACAGGAAACTTGTTGAAATGTTTACACAGTTCCACTGTTTAGACAGTTCTACTGTATGGCTCTGATACCAACTTCGGCCCGGATCTACAGCACTGTCAATTTGTCGACTATTTAAGTACTACTTGATTTGAATATTTAAGAATATTCTCTTGTGATTTTGTTTATATATATATATATATATATATATATAAGATACTACTGTTAACAGGAAGATATGAGTCCAACAGGCCAAATTGAATGTGGGTCAATCTGATGGTCACGACATCATTTCGTGTTTGAATTTTAATTTTTTTTCTACGAATCCAAATCGCTTGAAATTTTAGACATGTGTTCTTCTCAACAAGCCGCACCTAATAAAAATATAAAAATAATAATCCGTAAAAAACAAATTGACCAAAATATCTCTAAAACTTTATGGGGGTATTTTGGTCATTTTATTTCATATAAAATATTTTTTGATATTTTTCGAAGATTTGCCTATTTTTTATGAACACACGTATAAAATTTCAAGTGATTTGGACTTGTAGAAAAAATATTAAAATTCAAACACTATCGGGCATCCGTGATCGTCAGAATGGCCCAAATTCAATCTGGACCGCTGGGCTCATATATTCCTATTAGTCCTTGGGCTAAGAGGAAGATTTTCCATATATATATATATATATATATATATATATTCACAATCTCATGAAATTAGAGTCTAGTTCATAGTTCTCAGCTTCCTGCACACCTCTAAGATCAAATATGTTGTACCTACAAAAAGCAGAAGTTGAAAAAGATGTGGCATCGAAGAAACATAAGAGAATCTGGACAAGTACTTGCAAATGGTCTTCATGCGAATTTTTCATTTTAAAGGCAGCAGAAAGCATTGTCCCTTACAAAGGGAGGATGTTTTGACTTTTCCAAAGCAGATGTCAATCAAGCCCTTTTGCCATGGTCTATTTAGAAACTGATCATGTGGATGTCAAAGGAAGTATGACATGTTTCCAAGTTTGAAAATATTACATTTGTGTTTCTTACTTTTTTATCCACAAATTGCATAACAATCTGATAGCAGGCAAGACATCACATTATAACAAAGGGAATGTATACAATGAGACCATTTACTTTAGGTATAAGGAGGTCACAATTACCTATAACCCTTCGATGTGAAATCTGATAGCTTGTGTGTCACAAAGTTCAAAAAAATTTATTTTGAGCTTGGTCAATGAAATAAATGCCACCCAATTTCATGTTCAATGGTCAAAATTAATTATGACCACCTTGAACTAAAGGTAAATGGTCTCATTGTATACTTTTCCTATAACAAATTAGACAAAAGCAGCCAAGAAGAAAATATTGAGAGGAAGCATGTGGTTGTGAACCTCAACCTCCTCAACAAGAAATAGAACTTTGGTAAGCACTAGCCTTGATATATACTCACTCGACGAATAAATACATAATTGAACTACAATCTTGGGATGTAGATTAGCACTAGCCAAGGATCAAATACCTTGTATAACCTAAAGAATAACCCAGATTACTTCGGCTGGAACCTATGAAGACAAAAGGTCTTCAACCCATCAAACACAGCATAGGCAATCTTTAAAAGCGATGGTTAGGCATTGCCTTATGTAGAACAGAGAGAGTAAATGAACGATGAGATTCAAGCTACACGCACCAGTAATACTGACCCAAAAAGTAATATAAATAACTGTCCTTGACCTAAACAAATCACAGCCATATGAGCCAGCAAATAATGGACTAATATCCAGGGTCTTAACTCCTTTCCAGCATGATATTAACACCTGATGATAATACGTGCAATTGATAACTTTCCCAAAACTACATGGATTTCTTTAACAATGTAGTGGAACAGTAATTGAGTCCTCTAGGTTGGATCTCATTCTCCTAAATAAAAAAAAAATTACTTGTGATTCACCAGGTACGTTTCTTTTTATGATTAGAAATCAGTAGTTAATTCTTCTCCTACTTCAGAGAAAACCAAATGTCCCTCTTCATTTTAAATGAGTCTAACAAGATTCATTTCAAAGGTAATCTAATATTAACGGATTTTGATTCAGCATCACCCTGAAGCAATATCAAGAACCGAAACATGTTACCAGTTACTTACTACTATTTCTTCTTGTTTATTGTTGGATTCGAGGCAGCTTTTACACATTCGTTATATTTCTATAAATGATCTAAAATAACGATTCCATGTAACATAAATAAGAAACAATTCAAAATTCTCTTTTGGTCATAATCCAGTATAGCATCAGCAGCAGAAAATAAAAAACAACATTAATAATCATAGAACTAGTTTTTTTTGTTCAGGTAAGAAACTTTACTCACCAAAAGCACCTTGAATAAATATTGGCTTAGTCTGAGCACTCTTTGACAAGCCCAATGTTCCTACATAAACCAAACACATTAATAAAAGTTGTTGCAGAATAGTTGACTCAATCAATCAAAGAATAAGCTAAGAAACAGGACAGAGTAAACAAAAAAATCACAAGATAATTTCAAGTACTGACCAGGATTTAAAAAAGGAAAAATCTTCATGGTTGAACGTGCACCAAGCTTGCAATAGATGAATGTGAATGACTAATCCTTTTAATTCAAAAATTTAAATGTGCTTATGTATACAAACAGGTTTATATAAAAGCAATAAAACATATATACATACATACATATAACCACACACATATACACATAAATAAATATATACCTAGACAAAAATATGGACATACATACATACATACTAACATATGCGCACACGTACATATAGAGGGCAACTGCTATTGAAATGATGAATGGTTATTAAGAGAGGTTACGACCCACCAGAACACAACAAGACTCTTGTGGTAGCTCCCACTCTCTTCCTTCACCATCCATCATTCCAATGGGAATGTGATGAAACAATAAACTATTAATTTTACAGTCTGTTGGATTAGGAAATACTTGCCCTGTTTACCAGCATGCATGCATGTGTGTATGTATATGTATTTAAGTGTGTGTGCATATTTTGGTTATTTTATTTTATCGAAAATATTTTTTTTATATTTTTCGCTAGTGCGAGTTTAATAGAAGAATGGACGTCCAAATTTTAGTGTCAAAATAGTTTATAGAAAAAAAATTAAAAATAATATAGCGTAGAGACATGACATTGTGATTGGAGCAATCTTAGCCCTCCATTCAGAATGGAGGGTTGGATAAGGGGAAGGATAGAACTTCTATGCTGTAGGGGAAGCATAGAAAGTTTGCCCATATATATATATATATATATAGAGAGAGAGAGAGAGAGAGAGACACCACATGCAGACACACATCAGTCTCAGTGACATGCACAAACACATTCGTCTCCAAAATCAGATTACTTTATTTGAGATTACATGTACTTACAATTCAAATAACCAAAAAGAAAATATGAGGCCACTGGAATTTAGTAGGTGTAAATTAAACAGCTACAGCATCATATGCATAAGTTAACACCAACCTTTTCAAAATTTAGCACAATTGGCAGATTGAACAGTTAAGAGAATGTTCATAAGAGAACAGTAACCTATTCTAAAACTATAACCTATTGTAAAACTAATTCATCTAAAAAAAAAAACCTATTCTGAAACTAGTTCAGTTTGTGGCTAAAACAAGACAAAAATATGCATAAGAGAACAATAATATCTTCAAATATTAGCGTGGGCTACTGGGCAAACAGATTCGACCAAGTTTACAACCAAAATACACATATTAGAACACTCATTTTCGTCAAAAAACAGAACAGAGTACAAAAATACATCATCATCATCCAAGCTTTATCCCAACTATTTGGGGTGGGCAAGAGTATAGAAATACACATTGAACAATTCAACCAGATGTAACAAAAAACTAACAAATGCAACTAAATGCTCATGAATTACAAATTCCACAGTAATCTAAAAAAAACATTGTGTCAAATACAAAGCTTATATAGTCAAAATCACAATAAACTAACGTTACCCTTGGATCACTTGTTGGAAGGTAGGATCAGACACGACTAGTTCCTTTTCCAAATTCTTTAGTGGAAACGAAGAAGCAAAAGAGTATAAAGCTTTTAATGCTAACATTCTCAGATTTCCAGCTCTTTATCAGCTAATAACAAGCAATTGACATTGCGAAGAATTGCAAAAAGCGGCTATGCAAAGCATTTTAGTGTAGAGAAGAAGGAGATAGGCACATTTAGGGTTTGTACTGAAAATAGAATTTTGAAAAGAGAGAAATGCCACGGAGTAGGGTTTCCTCTCTTACTCACGGAGCTTTGGCGCTTCGCCTGAGCATAATCCTCACTGTTTGGTTATTCTTCTTCCCAATATTTATAGGATAAATAACCAAAGGGAGTGTTAATTAATGAAAATATGAAAAGAATTTGTTGGGTGACATTGATATCAAGACCATCTCTTTTTATTGTTGCCCAGTAGCTTAACAGCCTGTTTGATCAAACAGAAGTTTGAATATTCAAAAATTTGAAAATCTTTTCTTCTTTTTTTGGGTAGTTCAATGAGGATATAGGCACCTACCTGTTTTTTAAATTGTTAGTGGTTTTCGAAGGTGTTAGGTAAAAATAGAAGCCTAGACCTTAGCTGGGGCTCACGTGGTGCGACCACCACGACCCCAGCTCCATTCTCAAAATTTGAAAATCTGGATAAAATGTTTGTTGGCTTCCCATATTTCTAAGCTACAAATGATCCTAATATGTTTTTTCTTATTATGTTTGATTGTTTGAGAATATTTATAGATTTGACATTTATTATTGTTCGTTTGACAAAATTAGAGTATATTGCCTTGTTAGGCACAAATTTAGTTTGTGCCTAGCTTGTATTTTCTCTCTCTCACAACTAAAACCAACACCAACATCAAGAGTGTAGAGGTAAATGCCAATAAGTTAACACAAATCCAATGAATAGAAAGTGAGGGAGAGGATTCAATTCATATAAGAAAGTAATATTCGACCAAATCAAAGGCCAACATACAAAATCCACAAACAAAATTCAACAAGATATCAAAAGTGTGGCATAATATATGGTTTCATATGTAATATGTTGATTTTATTATGTACAGAAGCCATAGTCTTGTCAGGAGGCTACGCCATAGAGGGACTTAAGGCTGATCAGCAACCATACCTGTGCACACAATTGTATTCAAGCAACATCAAATCATAGCTCCAAGAATAGACTTTCTGGCTTTCAAAACCGATCAACAGCCATTTTAAAGAATCCTAGATCATATTCTCCAACAGATAATTTTTTCCATAACTGTTCAACACCCCTTTTCCAGGCAACCCCAAATAGTATCTGTAGCATAGAAGTTTTTGGCCTTCGAAAGACCCCCAAATTATAGCTTCAAAATATAATATCTTGTGAATTGCCATAGCTTGTTGAAGTATAAAAAGAAATCAACGCCCATTTCCAAGCAACCCAAAATCATGGCTTTAAAATATAATTTTTTGGCCTTCAAACCAATCAACATCAAGCAACTCCAAATTATAGGTCTCGGGTAGGATTATTTTGCCTTTCTTTTTCTCTTTTAATTTCAAGATGAAAATTTTTCTAAATTTGTCATACAAAATTAAACTCCCTTTTTACAACCTCCCTCAAAATTGCCTCAATTCTCACCTCATCAACATCAAAGATTCTTTGCATAACCAGCTCCCAAGTCTTGGCATGTGGTGCCATGCCAATATTACCGGCAGCCTTAACCATCTCACAAGCCTCATCAATCTTCCCCCCACCACAAATCCTAACAACCAAAAAATGCAGTGAAGATGTATGAGGCATAAAACCCTTACAAATCATCTCCCCCAAATAATGCTTGGCCTCAACAAGCTTCCCCTCTTTACAAAGCCCATCAACTAACGTTCTATAAGACAGAGAATTTGGTAAGCACCCATTGGAGGGCATCTCTTCAAGAACCTTACAAGCATCAGAGGCCCTACCTTCTCTAACAAAACCAGTGATCACAGTATTGTAATGGAGAATATCAGGGTTGCATCCCTTCACCTTCATTCGACAAAGCATTTTGTAAGCTTCTCTAAGTTTCTTTTTCCTACACAGACTATTCAACAAAGTATTATAGCTCAAAGCATCTGGTACAAAACCCTTGTTCATCATGTCATCGAAAAAGTTCAGAGCAGTTTTAACCTGGCTTTTTCTACACAAACCCTGCATCAAAATCCTGTAGGACTCCACATCAGGAACCAGGCCTTGCTTAAACATCTGGTTAAAGAGCTTATAAGCAATACTAAGTTTATCATAAAAGCAAAAAGCCTTCATCAATATGTTGAATGTCTCTGTATTTGCAGAGATACCAAACTTCTCCAAATCCTTAAACAATGAATAAGCCACTTGTACACGATTATGCTCAACTAGCACCAAAATTAACGCATTGAAATGCTTGGCCACAGGCTTGCATTGAAATTCAAGCATCTTAAAGAAGGTCTTCACAGATTGATCAGGCATACCTGAATCGCCATAGATGGTGATCACATCAGAGAAGAGACCAGGAGTCACCGGGCGACCTTCCGATTTGAGCTTGGAAATGAGCTTCTCCATCAAAGAAAATTGGCGATGGCGACCGAGCTTGAGAATGAGAGAGTGAAAAGAGGAGTAAGAAGGCGTGAAGTTTGGTTGCCGAGAAGCTAGGTCGAAGATTTCATAGGCCAGGAGAGGGTCCGGTTGAGAGGCAATGAGCTTCTGAACTCGAGCTGGTGATCCAATTGCAGAGGCAGAGGAGGAAAATTGCAACATTGGGGTTCTCATAGAACAATGGAAATGGGAAACTAGGGATTTTGGAGGAGGGAAAGAAGAAACTAGGGTTTTGAGGCAGAAGAGGAGGAGTGGGTGAATCATGGTTTCAGCCGAGTGTAAACGTTGATAGAGAAGAAACCAGGCCATAAATTCCTTGATAAAATTAACCTTCAAAAAAACAATAATTTGGATGGACAAAATTCAATTTTGTAAAGAAAATGCCATTTAATTTTACAGAGAAAACTCCATTTTACTTTCCAAATATAAACTACTCCCCTAAATTTCTTGTTCTCCCTCAAATCATGTCCTTCTTTGATTTTATTTTAGTTCCAACTTTTTTTTTTTCAGGCATTCGATTGAGTTCAGGCCTCCATGATTCTTTATATCACTCACCTGCAAAAAAACAAAAAGAAAGAAGAAATTTACGCGAAAACCATGAATATTCATCGAAATTGCAAAGGGGCTTTTAAGAAGAAAAAATGCGTATAGAGGTGGGGCTTCAGTTCAGAAGAATGGTGCCACTCTCAGTTCAGGCTGGGGAGAGGGGTGTGGAGATAGAATAAGAGAGGACTGAATCGGGCAAGAGAGAATGGGCTACAGAGAGAAGATAGGTTAACAGTGCTAGGGAGAGACCTACGTTTCAAAATCCGGATCGGTGGGACATCGTTCATCCCAGGCGCTAACTTTTTTTTTAACATATCCGGGACCCGAATGGAGCATCAAAAAATTGGTCGAACCACCGGGTTACCTTGTCGTTTTACCGTAGAGAAAATACGGTGAACTAGCTAAAAATTGATTCGGATGGGTGAATCAGCGGTTCGAACTCTTACGGTAGAGAGCCATCATTTTTCTGTGCAAAATTACCGATTCTTTTGTAGAGAGTTTCCTTCTAGACTCGATTACTTTCTTATATATAGACAAAAATCTATTTTTGAGTTGGATTTGACGATTCTATGCCAACCCGATGTTTTTTAAATCACTTATCCAAGGAGTCAACATTTTATCAGCCATGTGGATTAGGTCTGTGTCATTTGAAATGGGTGATAAGAACAAATTTAAAAATAATAATTTTTATTTAATTAAAATTAAAATAGAGGTTTATATGATATATATTTATAAATAACCTAATAAACTTAAATAAAAATATATATTTACATGATTCGGAGCCAAATTAGACTTGTACCATCCATGACTCGACTTAGCATGACTCCTAACTGATTCTCATCTAAATAAACTATCTTTATTAAAAACTGATGGTTTTTAAAACAAGAGGAAGGTGGAAATGAACTATCTGTATTAAAAACTGATGGTTTTTAAAACAAGAGAGAGGTGGAGGGAGGGCTGTGATCATGGTGGCAACGCCTAGGTTTCCATGTCATCTGACACTTTTGGAAACTGCTGATGATTTTAAAAACAGGTATATATCAAGCAAGATAGAGGGAGGTGATTAGAGGGAGAAAACAATGAAGAAAGTGGCACTAAGATGGGAAGAAGGATATACAACTACATCAAAGAATTACGAAAAAACAAGAATGAGGAGGGTAAGACTCGGTCGAGAATGTGAAACAATAAAATAGCTCTATAATTTATGGTTTTATGGAAGGTATGGCCTTCGATAGAGCATAATGACATAATATAATTTGCCTAATCGACGTCACATAAATAGTACAAGCTTGGAGGATGATGATGAAAATATGTGTTTTAATTTGTATTTATTTAGGAGTTGGTCTTAAGATAATAGATAATTTATCCACTTATAAATATCCCTAATCCTGTTTTGGCCCAAAGGAGCAAATAAAAAATTTGCTCATAGGGGAGCACAAAATTATTTGGCTTCTTTTTTAAGAGAAAAGTTGGGAGGGTTTGCTTTGAAATTTTGGGTCCGTGTGGTATTTATTTATTTATTTTGTTGAGGTTAGTCTATGGATTGATCTTAAAGTAACTCCTAAGTTGGGTTTTATCTGAGAGAGTAAATAGACAGTACATAGATATAGCTAAAAGACATTCCGCCTCCGAGAGCATTCTATGACTTTGGTCCCTCGAGGTAAAGCTTATGTTAGGTTTTTTGTTTTTTTGTTTGTTTTACCCAAATTTTTTAGATATGACATTTAGAACATAATAACCAAACTTTAAAGAAGAAAAAAATTAGATAGAACTCTCTATGTGCTTTAAAAAACGGGTGTGATTTTTATAAGGTTGCAACCTTATATAAACTTTTTCCTGAAGGATGCAGTTTTGAGAAGGGCTAGTCTTTATAAAAATAAAGTAAAAGCCTCACTTAAAATCCTCCTCTTAAAATAACTTTGGGTATTGGAAAATTCAAATGTGGCTTTACAATCAATTTTCAATGTTGACTATAAATTTTAAAGCTCAAAAAATGGTATAAATCTGGCAGATTTGTGAATAATAATGTGTTACACTACACACTATCTTTAGAGCTTGAAATTGTATTTTTTTACAACCATAATAGTAACGACCACTAATTGATTTGAAGGTTTTTCGATACTATAATTATACTTTTTAACGAGTTTTGAGGTGAAGCTTTACTTATTTTGATAAAGCTGTAGCCTTATCAAAATATATTTCAAAAAGTTAACCTCCTAAGTTTGTACAAGAGCAATATATAAGCATCTAAGAACTCAAAATTAGCTTTATTTTTTAAATTACTCATATGGTTATATACTCAAAGATCCCAAAGCTTGTATTAAAAAAAAATTATCCCAAGTAGGTGTACACTAACATACTCTGGCATGGACATTGTAGATGTGTTCACATATATGCAGTTCATGCGCTTGATAGATAATAGGCTTGGCATCGGGTCGGGTGGGTTTAGGACTGATTGGGTCAGCCATACTCCAAAAAATGATACGAGACCCATCCAAACTTAAAGATATAGCGTGGACTCGGACCCGATCGGATCCAATCAAAAAATTAAAATATTTCTATATTTAACTATATTTAATTATATAAATATATTGGGACTCAAAAAATGTTACTTCATCTGGACACACACCCAGACCGAACCAAACCCTGATAGTACTCGTGTCCAATTTTTTAGACTCAGACATGGATAGGGTCTACCCCTGGGTCCCGGTCCATTGCGACTCCTTTATTGATAAGATCATAAGAGTACTGTTATATATAATAAGAACTGTACGGAATAGGGTTTCTGCTCTCGCTAGAGTGCTATATAAACCCTGTAGGGTATGGGCGCTTCTTCTTTTTGCCCCTCTCGTTTTAGTTTTCGCCTCTCTGTTGACTGCTCTCCCTCATTGCAGAGTCCGCGTCCCTGTCTCTCTCGAGCTCTAGAGAGTCTTCTATATGGTAGATATACCCTAAAAAAGGCCATCTTTTATCAGTCTAGGTATCCATAGAAGCCAAACCCATGTCTCAGAATCTCTAGAGCTTGTTGTGTTCTCAGCCTTTGTGCATAAAGCAAGCTTATTTTGCATCAGAAATGTCTACTGTTAATCCCTTTGATTTATTGGGTGACAACGATAACGATGACCCATCGCTTCTCATTACTTCTCAGGAGATGAAGGGTGCTTCTAAGAAGCCCACTGATAAGCAACCACCCTCACAAGCTAAGCTTCCTGCTAAACCCCTTCCTCCTGCCCAAGCAGGTAACTTTTATTCATTATATTTATGTTTTTAGTTTTTTGTATGAATATTTGTTGGCTGATCATGAATCTTTGCTTTTTAATCGTCTCTGTTGTAGTTTTTGGTTTTTTTATATTCAGAGGATTTTTATCTTTTATGTTGCATTGTGAGCTATTCTGTATTTTAGGTTCCGTGATTAGTTGCTCTTTTTTCGCATGTTCTGCTATGCCTGTATTTCTCCTTTCCATACTGATTTTGGTAATGTACATTTGGGATTTTACTTAGGTTTTTTGTTCATTTGTATCTTTTTTTTTTCTTTAAACTTTTAGGTTCATCAGCCCTATTGAGCCTTGATTTGAAGTAGTTTTTTTCTCTTTGCTACCTTTTTTCTGTCATTGATGAATTCATTATCTTATTCATTTATTCGAATTTATTTGCTTTGTATGATTTTGGATTTTCCCAATGGTTTGGTTCACTTGGTGTTGTGAGTGTTTATGAGATAGTAGCTTTCATGTTCGGCCAATGTTCATTATGCCTTTTTCTAATAATGCATGTTAATGATTTTGGAAGTTTGTGTCTATTATTCAAGCTGTGTTCAATATTTATTATGAATCAAAAAGATTGAGTGGTAAAAAAAAAATACATAGGTCTATTTATTGACTCGAGTATGTCATTGCTATTATTAGTATTGTAATGTTGGCTCGAATAGGTGCTATACTTCCAATCCAATGACGTTCTTGCTATTTCAGAAACTAAAACATCCCCAGCCTAACTAAAACACCCAACCAAAAAAAAGAAAAGAAAAAGAAAAAAAGGGAAAAAAAAAAATTTACTGCTCTTTTAGTCTATTTTCTCCCCCCTCTATCCCTATCTTCTTTTGCTTCTTGATATTTATCTTCTTAATTCCTCCTCTCTCGCTTTTACATCTTTTTGTTCCTCGACTTTGCTGCAACCCTCTCCCCCTCTCGGGCACTATCTCATATCTGGCTTCTATCTTCAGCCTCTAGTTTTTCTTCTTGTTTCCTCTACTTCTCATTCCTTCTCTTCCCCCATCTCCTCATCCCTTACATCCCATTGTCTTCCATCCAATCCTACAACCTCCCCCATGTCTTTTCCAGTCACCTTGCTCTTATGTTTGGCTACACTCCTTTCTGGAAGGACTGCAGAACCTATAGTCTGGTTTTACTTCAGCCTTACTCAGCTGGAGCTCTTCACTATGCTCCCAGGGATGAAGTCTCCCAAAGAGGGCCGTAGTACTTGCTTCCGCGATGCCCACCCTACTCCCCCCAGTCTTCCAGGCTCAGTTTCATCTCCCCACAGTTTATGGATGAGATCTTTGTAGATCCATCTATAGGCTACCACAGTGGCACCTCGGAGGGGTTCAATACCTCCAGGTCTGAAGAAGATATATGTCATTTGCAATACACAGACGAGACCATTGTCTTCTTTGATACTTCCTTTGCTCAAAATTGACAAACTGTGATTATCCTCAGATGTTTTGAACTGGCCTTTGGTATGAAATTATACATGTGAAAATCCAAGAATCCATGTCCTAGAGGCTCATCTTCAAATCTTAACAGATAGGCTCGGATGTTCCATTAACACTCTCTCAACAAAGTATCTAGGCCCTTCTGTTTTGTGCTGGGCAACCTAGGAAAGCTCTTTGGGATCCCATTGTGGGAAATTCCAAAGAAATTTGGCTTATTGGAAAGGTTGTTTTCTTGCCCTTTGTGGCAGAATTACCCTCATCAAGTATTTTCATCCAATATCCCGATCTATGCCTTGTCTGTTTTCATTATGCCAGCCTCCACCGTCAACATACTCAACAAATTGATCCGAGCCTCCCTATGGTCCTTTGTCATTTCTAAGAATAGGATTGCCATCCAAGCCACGTTATTCTCTATTTGGAAGGAGTGAAACTTTTGTCTCTTTCGGGAAGCTAGAAGTACTTCAACAACAACTGCAAAGAAGGCGAGATCACTCACCATCTTCTGGGGTTCTAGCTGCAAATCGGAGGCTTCACATCATTGGACTTCAAAAACAATTGGTTAGACATTTTGAAGTCTAAACACCTCAAGCGTCCTTGCTCGAGAAAATGGACCACCCACTCCAAGGCACAATCAAAGTCAACATAGATGAGTGCTCTTTGGTTAATCTGGGTCTGTGCAGAGCTGGAGGCTGCAGGAGATTCCAACGACAATACTATTCTCATATTCTCCATCCCTATTAGGTACAGAGATTCCAATTGAGCGGAGGCCACTGCCTTGCTTGAGGTGCTCAAAAGATTCAATCTTAATAGGGGAAACAACTTAATAGTTGAGGCCAACACTCGGAATGTTATCATATGGGCCCAATATCTCTGAACCTCCTTGGAGATTGACCCACATTTTCGACCATGTTCACTTTCTTTGCAGGCCACTTCAAGTCGACTGCTGACATTCTTGGAGGAAAAGGAACCAGCATGCTGATCTGCTAGCAAAACAAGGGGCACAGTCTACTCCAACCCAGACACAACAATGAAGAACTTTGTCTCCTCCTCCTTTCCCCTCTTCTCTTCACCCCTTCTCTTCTCCACTTTTCTCTCTTCCAAGTCTTGTCACTCTCTTCTCTTCTCCTCTTTTCTTTCTCACTTTTCTCTCTCTTCTCCTCTTTTCTTTCTCACTTTTCTCTCTCTTCTCCTCTTTTCTCTTTATTCCCCTCTTCTCTCTCTACTCTAACCTAAACACAGCAGTAAAGATCTTTGTCTCCTCTCTTCTCTTCTCCTTTTTTTCTCTCTTCTAAGTCTAAGCTCTCTCTACTTGTCCGCCTCTGGTTCTCATCTATATCCTCACTCTCCCTCACCTTTCACTTACTTCTCTCTCTTTCTTGAATATCTGACTTTCATTTACACACTCCCTTATTTTATGTGATCATCATCTTTTTTGCACGAGCACCCAACTTGTAGGATGCTAGCACTCACGTCTTGTGAGAATATTATAACCTTTATATTAATGTGAATAAATACTGTCACTGTCTCAAAAAAAAAATCCACTCCAATGAAAAATGCTGTTCTCAAGGTTGGAATTGAGGGGACCATTTGAGCAAATGACCTTATCTGTAACACTTCTTGAGTTACATCCTCTAGTCCTGACCTCCAATATCGGGATAGGACTTTTGTAACTAAATTTTTACACCTCCAATACAGCTCTGGATTTTGGGGATTAAATGTTAACAAATAGGTTATCGCCGTTGATCTGTAATTTACTGTATTATACTAATATTTGTTTCATTGCATTGGTTGGTTGGTCCCAAACTAAGTGGTAAGCAGCTTTCTTTTTCCCACCAGTCTGCCATTTATAGGTTGAAATCTTGTTGAACCAATGATCATTCAGAGCGGTATTTACCATTTAGATCTTTGATTTTGAGACAATCATCTTGAATTAGAGAGATTACTGTGATGGCAGCTTTAAAGAGCAAAAATTGTGCATACTTGGCTGGTCGGTGAGTGAGTCAGTACTAGTTTGGTCGTGTAAAGTTTGGAAGTCCTACCATGAAATCTTCGAACATATTTTTGAGTGAGAACTAGAATATGTCGGCAGGTCGGCCTGCACATTGTTTGAGATTTTTGTCGTTGACTTACATGACATTCAGACAACCATACTCTCAATAAGTCGCTTAACTTGGGTTCTAAAAGATAGATTTCAGCAGTTTCAATAAGACGAGGCTCATTCTAAGGAGGTTGATATTCACGTATTGTAGTTAGAATCTGCAAAAATTACGAGTGCCCTATCGAGTTCTTCAATTTGACTTGAACAAATCCAGGCCATTTTGGTGTGTCCTTCAGCTTCCCATGCCATAGGTGGAAAGAAGAAAAATTAGATAAGTCTGACATGAGAAGCATTGAAATATGACCTGACTCATTCCCTCAGTGTTAATTGTTGGAAGAGCGCGTCCTCAATATCTTTGCTATATCTCCTAATCAATGTTGTCTTGACCATAGAGGGTAAAGGACAGGAGAAGAATAACAGATGGTGTGATTTCTTTTCTGATGAATATAATACTACAAGTTTGAGCGGTAGAATTTTAAACTACCCGTTAGTGAAGTTTGCCTAGTGGACAAGATTAAAATAATGGAGGTCATATTTGTTTAAACGCATTGCGCGAGTTTTAGTCTATAATTTTGGTGATATCAACCAGAAAAAAGATAGGATAACTGTAATAATAATTACAGTTATTATTCTGCCTGCCTTATAAATTTTAGACCTCATAAGCACACAGGAGTGTGATGTTTTAGTAATTTTTTTTTAGGGATATGTGATGCTCTAGTAATTTTCTAGCTAAGGTTTGCATATTGTGCCATGTGTTGTTTCCTTTCTGGTCTGAAACCAACTATTTGAATCAAAGGCTGAAATTTTTTATATGTAACATGATATAATCTTACATTACAATAAAAAATGATATGATGATGCAATGTTTTAAAAACAAGGATTCAAGCTTGGACTCACCAGGGTCCCAACCCTGAGTCATCCACTGACTCAGCTGAGTTGGATAGTTGCATGTCTGACTTGACCAAGTATTTGGACAAAATACAAATGGGGACCGGACTCCTTGAGGATCGTCCAAGTTTCGGTCTTTTTAATCCCGACCGGGTTTTGAACACTGGTGATTTGATATATCTTCTCCTTGCATTTTTATTATATTGCATGTAGCTTGAACAAGGATATCAAGTCTCAAGGTATTTGGTGAAGTTGAATGTTCTTATCTTGCCCTTTACTCGAATACTTTAAGCTCATTTTCTAATAAAAATAAGTAACTCTTATTCCTTCAAATTAGTGGTATGCACAAGAAATAAGATTGACATTTTGGTTTTGGTGCTATGAAATTATCTAGTTCTTTTTGTTACTTCCAAAACTTGAGGCTGTTAAATGTTACATGTTGTATGTATTACTTCATTCGCAGCTTGTATATGGTTCTTTTCTGACAGATCCCATTCATTTTTTATAGTGAGAGATTCAAAAGCTGAAGCGGGTCCTGGGCGTGTTGGGGCCCGTGGCGGTGGGCGTGGATTTGGGCGAGGTCGTGGGCCCGGCTTTAGTCGGGAGTTTAACAACAATGGAGCTCAACAAACCAATGGCGTTCCAGGAGGATATGGTGGAAATGAAGATGGAGAGGTTGGTAAGGCAGAGCGAGGTCGTGGTGGCTATGGCGGGGACCACACTCCCTATCGTGGTGGCCGCCGCGGTGGCTTTAATAATGGGGAAAATGGAGATTTAGATCGCCCTAGAAGGCAATTCGAACGGCGCAGCGGGACTGGGCGAGGGTATGTGTTTCGCCTTCTGCATTTGTGGCCTAATTATCATCTTGCCAATGACTCCCTTCTTTTGTTTTGAAATTATTCGTTAAGGGAGATATCTAAATAGAACCTGAAACTCTGCTTCCTGAGTCATTCTGGTGCTTTAGGAATTTGAGTTTTCAAAACAATCCTTGGACCTTTCTTTTAAAAAGTGATCATTTTGACCTTGTTCCATACTTTGAAAGACATTTATCTGTTATTTAAAAAGAAACGTTAGGTTTCTTAGAATAATAGAGCTTCACTGTTGTTCTTATTATGCTTAGGGGTAGTTTTTCCATTTAATTAAGTATTTTTGTCTCTGGTCATTGAATGTTTGGATCCAAATGCTGCCTTCTGTTATATAGAAATGAGTTTAAACGTGATGGAGCTGGTCGTGGAAATTGGGGGGCCCCAATTGATGAAGGAGCTGTCCAGTAAGTACTTATTTTCTCCTGAATACATAATCTTACTCTCCTCTCCTGAAGATATAATCTGTGTGTGTGTGCACGGGCACATGCGTGCGTTTGTGTGTGCATGTCTGTGTGGGTGGGTGTGTGTGCATGTGTGTGCGCATGTGCGTGTGTGTGTTGGTTTTGGCGTCTTTGTAGCATCTTTGTATCTGTGTTTGATCCAAAACTTAGCTCATTTATATCCATGTTGTAAATTGCCTATGATGCGTAATTTCTATTTGTGAATCTTTATGGATTAGGGAATCTGAGGAGGTTGTTGGTGAAAATGGTAAGGTCACAAGTCCAGAGAAGCCATCAGAGGAGGAAAACAATGCAGCTGTTAATAAAGACAATGCTGTGAATGAACCGGAACAGAAGGAACCTGAAAATAAGGTAGAAGGCCAGTAATATAACAAGTGCTTTATTATGAAACAAACAGGAATAATTCTCCTTTTTAGTAATTTATGGTAAATCATCTTGGATTACATTCTCATAAACCTGTGTGTGTGTGTGACTGAGAGAGAGAGAATTTAAATATAATGGTTCGCGTTATTTACCATAAATTATTCAGTTTACTACTGTTAAACTCCTCGCAATTGAGATTTGTTTCCTTTTTGCACAGGAAATGACTCTTTCTGAGTATGAGAAGGTGCTGGAGGAGAAGAGAAAAGCTCTCCAAGCACTGAAGAACGAAGAAAGGAAGGTGAATTTGGACAAAGACTTCGAGTCCATGTTGCAGCTTTCTGATAAGAAAGCAAATGACGATGTTTTCATTAAATTGGTGAGCTTGTGTTCATCTTATCTCTCGGTTGTTCATGAACCGTATGTTATTTGTTATAAATATAGTTACAAATTTGCAATACTTTTGGCTTTAAAAAAGCGGAATTTATTAAACTCTATATTGCATTCGAACTATTTAACATTTTACCCATCTCTTTTGATCTAATTTCAAATAGCCCATCAAATGATATATCAAAATGGGTTTTGAAATTTATCAAATTGCTTGTGGTAAAATGTTTAATTGTTCATCTTTTTGGTCTATTTTGATAATCTCCTTAAAAGCCCTAAATAGTTATATATTATGCACATGGCCCTTATTACATTGTTCATCTTATCTCTCGGTTGTTCATCTTTTCGCCATGGCCCTTATTACATTTGAGAACCTATTTATGCACAAACTGTAAACCCCTAATTAGCTACTAATATTATTAGCTTTGGATGTAGTGCTTGTTTTGTAATATCTCTGTAACACCTCATCCTATTCTGACAATGATATTTTATCCCATTATAAAATGGCTTTAATGGTTTCTTGTCTATCCTTGTGCTCATCTTGTTAGGGTTCTGAAAAAGATGCAGCTCGACGAAAGGAGATTGCTGAGAAGGAAGAAAGGATAAAAAAGGTGAGCACTGCTGAATAAGATTTATATGCAGGTTTTTAAATTTTATGACGACACTCTGAAATCCTTTTAAGTTGATTTTAGGAAAAGATTGATACGTTTACTCTTCTAAATGATCGGAAATCACACCTATCCTATTACAGACATTTTTTCCTACATATATAATTTGGTAATATGTAAGGTGCAAAATTGAATTTTGCACTAAGGACAGGACATATATGTGGGGCAAAGTACTAATTGTACCATACCAATCTATCTTTTATATTAATCTACACTGATCTCCATGAAGTTGTTATTCTTACTAATGGCAAAAATCACCCCAATCAAAAGAACATTCCTGTGAATGAAGAAAAAGAAGGGGGAAAAAGTGCTTGCCATGTGGTGTTTGTACCATAGCAAATCTTTAATGTTAATCTGTACTGATCTCCATTATAGACCCCAATCACCCCAACCAAAAGAACTTGGCTGTAAATAAGCAGCAAGTAGTAGAAGAAGAAAACCGGCAGAGAAAAACAAAAAAAAAGGTTCATTTTAAAAAAACAAAAACAAAAAAAAGGTTGTTCTATGGTGTTGGTTAGGTTTTGGTCAGTGGAGAGCCTCAGCTTCCCTATCATCTCTCTCTATCTCTCTCTCTGCATTTGAAGTTATTGATTCATTCTTTTTGGTGACTATCCTTGCTAGTCTGTTAGTATCAACGAGTTCTTGAAGCCTGTTGATGGAGGGAGGTACTATAGTCCAAGAGGTCGTGGACGAGGCCAAGGACGTGGCGGTTTTGGAGGTGGGATTTCAAGCAATAGCACAAACAGTATTGCTGCTCCATCCATTGAAGATCAAAACCAGTTCCCCACTCTTGCTGCTAAGTGAGAATTTCCAAATTTGCTGTTCTGTTTTTGTTTTTGTTTGTCCTTTTCTCTTCCCTTTCTCTGTCGTTGTTAAAAGAGTTGTTGAATGCCGGTATCCAAAAGAATAATGGGTTATCCTCTATCTAAGATGCCGGGTATGACATCTTTAATGGGGTATCCTTGGGTGTCTTGTTGCGTTTTGTCAAGGAGATTCTTTTGGCTTAAGTTATGTCATAATAACAATTTGGTCTCTCTCTCTCTCACTCTGATATATGGGGACTTACGGTAAGGTGTGGCCGTTGATAGGTAGAGTAGAGTAGAATGACATACTTATAAGTTGATCTCAATTAGTTGGAAAAAGGCTTTGGCAATGATGATGGTCTTTCACTCTCTCTCTCTCACCAACACACTGGACAACTATTGACATGCTTGACATAGGTCTGTTAATAGACCAGGCAAGCCCAAGCTCTGGCCTGAGCCTGTGCCCGGCCCGAAATAGTGTGGGGTAGGCCGAGATCTGGTTTGATCATGATAAGGATGCCCGAGTCCGTCTGGACTGGACAAATTATAATGCAATTGATGGGGGGATATGCAGTTTGTGTGCAATAAATAAATGAAACCTATTTGCTATACAATGGACGTTTGATATCTCTTATGATGAATTATGCTGTGGGTATCTTGATGTATATGTCTATTGTATGAAATTCCTGTCATCTATCTTGCATTTAGTTCGATTCTTTTGTAGTTTAATTTGCCATTCGTAAAAAAAATTTTTAAAATAAAAATAAAACTCTCATTCGGGTCGGCTGGGTAAACTGACCATCTGAAAAATTGGTCCAGATTGGTGCATCCGAAGGACAAAAACTATAAAATAAAATAGAGAAAAAAACATGTAATGTGTGGGAACTGTGAGATGTATAATGTGATTGGTTGGGTGGTCAGGCTGGCAGGCAGCCGCACACCATGATATTTTATTATCCAGAATTATCATTTAGTAGCCTATACAGGTATAAGTATTAGGACTTGTATAATAATTTTATGATTTTAAGACTTGTATTAGGATCATTACCCACCTTTCAAAAGAAGAACTTATAAGGGACATCCATAATTTATTAATTTCAATAATAAATTATATTATAACTGTGGATTGCCGGTGATAATGACTATATATAAATAATCTTTGCAGTATATGTTGAGGGATTGTCTATAAATAGACTATTCATTTTTGTGTACATAGAGGTCACAATCATTGTTGTCCATTAAATTTTAAAATGGATGGTTGTAAGAGAGTCATTGTCTATTAAATTTTAAAATGGATGGTTATAAGAGTGCTATTGAATATACGCAAAGTTCTAAAAAATGGTTCACTTCAAACTATCCAATTTGACATCTAATGAGTGTGAATGATTATGATTTTTATGTACAAAAGGATAAATGGTCCTTTTATAGATAAATGATCCTTTTATAGATAATCTCATATGTTAAGGCCAAAAAAGTAAACTTGTGTTGGAGCATTGTCATTGATTCACTCTATGAAATCTATCTGGGAGTACTTCGTTGACTGCGATTTTTTTTTTGCAATGTGACATCCTCGACTTAGGGACAAACTTCTAAAAAAAATCTTATCAAACTTTTATTAAAAAAAAAAAAGAAAGAAAGAATTTTATATAAAATATATATTTGCCTATAATATTTTAAGATTCAACACAGGCAATCTAATTTGACAGTTAGATCTAAGAATTTAGGAACTCAAAATTTTATTTTTATTTATTAAAATAATTATTCAATAACTTTAAAGTATCCCAAACTTTCAGTATCAAGGAATTTCCCTTCTGCCTAGCGGAGCAAGTATACAGTTTGCTCCCACAGGAATACTATGTACACGCTTATAAGAACCCAAAATGTTTTCTGCGTTATATAGACATAAATATTTGATAAACGTGCTGTTTATTAGGTAAAGGCGGGCCTGTTCTCTCTAGAAATAATTCTAAGAGGCCACGTGTCCGGATATGCGGCCATCTTTGAAAGCCATCACTAATGCTTCCTTTTTTCGAAGGATAAAAAGTGGTTGCCTTTTGTCTAAGGTTTGTATATTACAAGATCATTTATCATAGTTATGAGGAGATCATAATTGTTTCTAGTTCATGCCTCACAAATTTTGGGATTTTTTGTTTTTTTTTTTTAATTTTGAGTATGGTGGAAGACACACTTATACTACCTGATTTAAAATTTGTCGGATCAATAATTATGACTTCTTTGTACTAAAAGCAAATAGTCTTTATATACTTTTCTTCGGGCTTGGTTGGATGATAAGTAGTTTTAGTTGTAATATATTTTTTCTCTAAAATTAATGTGCTCTATGTAATATTATTTTTTTGTTGTTTGATAGGCACATTGTATTAATATAATATTATTGACCCATTTAACCCTTTTTCAGTAAGATCTAACTATTTGGGGCTAGAAACATATGATTTAGAAATGGACAAGATGTCTATGAGTCCATGTAGAAACGAGTCACCTCTAAAATATCTATTTTTTAGATGGATTTTTGGACTTAATTTTTAAGGACATGCAATCTATAACATGGAGATCATGAATATGAAAGAATAAATAAATTTTGAAAATTAGAAATAATGATTCTATTATGAAAACATTTGGACTGATAGTTTAAATTGTTTTTAGATGGACCACCTATTTACGTCCATCTCTAAGATGGATGCTTTATACTTGGGACCGCATATTCTAGAAATGTGGTCCACCCTGCTTGAAACAATTTTCGTTTAAAAATAGCTTTCCAAAAAGACAATCTTATATCTAAAACTGCCCAAGTTTATTTTAGATAACTTCATGATGGACACTACCACACAATACCACACAATAGATAATTCATTATAAGGATTAGTATTCATAAAACCAAGCATTATCAATGATAATTAGTACCTTAAAACAAACCATAAATATATTTTTATGATGGTTTGAGCATGAGGCAAGTTTATAGAGTTTGGCTTCTCGATTGTGTGAGCATGGGGAAGTTAATAGTATGAGCGAGAAAGTGTACCCCAATGGTCTGATTTCATTTTGTAAGGAAGCTAAAAGATGATTGTGACTTTAAATTATACGGCATTATTGTATACTTCACTTTTCTACGATTCCAAATGTTGTAAAACACGGGGACAAGAAAGCCGTCACTGAACCACTACATTCAACAATGTTAATAGCGAAAATGGTATAAAACCCACTCAAAAATGGACTTTTTAAGCAATTTACCTCCAACCTATTTTTTCTAGCAATTTTTTTCCTAAAACTATGTTTCCTAGCAATAGCAATTTTTTCCCTAAAACTATGTTTCCTAGCAAATATCCCCCCAACTCAAAAAAAAAAAGAAAAGACAACGTGACTAAAATAACCCTCCTTTACCTCACACGTTGACCATGACGGTCTGGCACTTCACCATGGCGGTCTGGCACTTAAGTCATTGATTTGGAACGGTTCAGCACTTAACCATGGCGGTCCGTACTTCATCATGCCAGTCCGGAGTTTAGAAGAGGCGGTACGGAATTTGTTTATGGATTAATGAGCAGGCCAACATTTGTGAGCTACGGTCCGACAAAATTGAAAATTGTGTCAAGAATAAGCGGCCCGACAGTGTACAGTTCCAGTTCGACATAATAGATGGGTCCGATAATATACAACCGCGGTCCGGCGTTTCCTTTTATTGGGATCCTAAAATGATTTGTTATGTGCGGAAAGAGTACTTTCGTCAAAAAAAGAACTTTTTGTATTGGGGGGTATTTGCTATAAAACTTAATTTTTTGAAAAAAATATGTTAAAAAAAAATTAGGATGGGTAAAGCTTTCTTTGTGATCCCAACCGCAGATAAGTTATGTTTGACCCCATTTCTCGGTTGTTCAATCTAAATTGATAGCTAGGATTTGCTCATCGTAATATCAAACCAAACACTATTTGATTCAAATACTATTTGATTTTTTTTTTCTTTCTATTGAACTTTTTTGGTTGAAATTTTGGGCTTCCCATCTTATTCCTGGGGGTGCACCTAACAAAAATGAAAAAAATATTTCTCATTAAAATAAATAACCAATATACCCCCAAATGTTTGAGGGGCATTACGGTAATTATTATTACATAAAATATTTTGTTCTTAATTTTATCATATGCAGCCATATTAGATGTATGTGTGCCATTTCATTGCAAAATGATTTATAAAATAAAAATAAAATACTTTGAGTCGTCAGATCTTGATATGATGCTTAGAGTCAACTTGTGATATTATGACACAGGCCATCCTAGCTATCCACTCAGGTTTGACAGTTGAGATTAGGGTTACATATATTATATAAGTGGTTGGAGTCACAAAGCTTTCCCACTAACTTATCTTCTTGTTTTTGAAAATTTCACAAAATTTCATGGCATTTTTGGAACTGGATATCTATCTCCATATTGTGAGTTTTATGCTTTCATTTCAAACGATATTGAGTTGTAAATATGTAAAAACATAATATGATGAGTAAGGACATTATGATAACCATGACCTATGATCCATAGGGACATGTGATCCGAAAGGGCTCATCATTGATCAGTTAATTAATTCGGCATCAGAGAGAGAATATAAAGCTGCATATTCACGAGTTAAAATTTCTCCAAAATTACAACAATAAAGAAATAAAATTAAAAAACATGAATATGTGTATATCCTACTTCCAAGGATGATCAACCTAAACTTTTAAAACACAACATAATTCTGAACCCAATGCCACTTGCTTATTACCATCCAACAACTACACCAGGTGATAAGATGCATGACTGCATGGATCATATTATTTCGGCCTGAAAAATATAAGGTACATTTCGGAGAACTACTATAATAGATTTTGATCTAACGCATGAAAGTGTTTTGCAATTTTGAGTGGTTTGTGGCACACTATCTCATTCCTGTTGTAATGTAAAATGCCGCGCATTTTGCATTTTGTCTAAAAGGTTGGATCTTTTTTTTTTTTTTTTGTAATTCAGTAGGAAAGATATGCCTCTATTCATTTATTCAGATATATTAGGGAGTTAGTTTTTTTTTAAGTTGTCAGTAAGTAGTGTCAGTAGGATTGAAAACCACAACATGATAATTAAGTATGGGGGTGCTCCAAAATTTTGAATCTTGTTTTTAGCTTTTCTGATGACTTCCCATAAAAGTTTCATAGTTTTTGAAGGTCATCATTGTCTAGTGCTATGAACAATCACTTAAATGGTTGTTCAATCTGAAGGGTGAGTTTTGAATAGACCAAAAAGACAAGTTCTGTTTGTTAGAAGACATGAAAGGCTTTTGGGTAGAGAGAGGGGTAATAGAGCACATGTATTTGTGGATTAAGGTGATGGAGCATGGTGTATAACCCTTCTTCTATGTTAATTGAAAGTTTGATGAAAACAAAAAAAAAGATTGTCCACAAAGAGACTATTTATTTTTTGTACATAGAGATCACAATCATTATTGTCCCTTAGATTTCAAAATAGGTGGTTATAAGAGTGTCATTAAATAGACATAAAGTTCTAAAAAAAATCTCGGACTTCATGATTCACTCCAAGCCGTCCAATTTGACATCTAATAAGTGGGAATGATTGTGACCTCTATATACAAAGTATGTCATATTATTCATATTTATGATTTTGAAAAGGAGAAGTCTAGTGAGTCGGTAAGTGGTGAGTCTATCCTAGTTTTTGAAGGATTTAGGATCCAAAACACATTTCATGTAAGTCTATTTTCGCCTTGGATACAAGAAGTTGGAAATCCAAACATTATGCATATTTGAATAATCAATTTTGGGGATTATATACAATGAGACCATTTACCTTTGATACAAAGTGGTCACAATTACTTACAACCATCCGATGTGAAGTTTGATAGCTTGGATGTGTCAAAAAGTTCGAGAAAATTTATTTTGAATTGCAGCCACCCAATTTCATATCCAATGGTCAAGATTAATGTCTCACCTTGTACTAAAGGTAAATGGTTTCATTCTATACTTTTCCCATAAAAAAATATTAAAGCACAAAATCCGAGCTAAACTTTTTTAGATTCATAATCTTGGTAATCTAAATGGTGACCAAGATCCATATCCAAGATAGATTTTACTTGGGGTCTTAAAACTGGGTGCAGTTGGCATATGGATGCATCCGCAGCTACAGTGGTAAGGTGCGCCTTCAAATTTTATCATGGTATATAATTTTGATGTAAAATATTATTAGGATTATCTCAAAATCTATTTTTATATCTAATTATAAAATTTTAAATTTAAAAAATGGTTAAAATCAAGTAGATCTACAAACATATGAAAATCTTGAAAATGGACGGTGTAGATAATATGTTGTAAAATGCACTATTTCTAAGACTTTAAATCTTTTTATTTTTCATAGTCATACATCTCAATGTCAAGATTATCAATCAAAGGGGTTTTCAACATTAAAACTACTTTTTCCGATGGATTTGAGGTGTATCCGTAGCTCTACATTATAAGGTTGCAACCTTATATAAATTTTTTCCCTTAAAAATAGGGACAGTATACAGTGAGATTATTTACCTTTCGTATAAAGATGTCACAATTATTTATAAGGGTGCGGTTTGTATAGAGCCTAGGCTCTAACAATCAAATTAGAGCCTACTTTCAAATAGCATCGAGCACTTTCAAATAGCATCGAGCAATGCGGTTTTAATATTGGAAATCTTTGTGATAGCTTTAAAATATGTTTTCATATTTATTTATAAAGTTTAAAACTTAAAAAAGAATGTAGATCGACATATCTATGAAAACTTGAAAATCTTGAACATTGACGGTCCATTTTTTAAAATGCATTACAAAATACACTATTTCTAAAACTTGAAATCCATTTTTTTCTTATATCCATGCATTTTGATGTCGAGATGATCAATTTGAATATATTTGGGCATCAAAACAACCTCTTCTAGTGAAATTTTTGAGGTAGGCTAAAATTTGATTCTTTAGAGCCTCAGCTTTATATAAACGTTTCTCTTTTTATAATCATCTGGTGTTAAATTTAAGGGAAAAGTTTATATTGAGCCGAGGCTCTAAACAATCAAATTTGAGCCTATATAAAAAATTTCACTATAAGAGGTTGTTTTGATGCCCAAATATTATCAAATTAATCATCTCGACATCAAGATACATGGACATAAAAAAAGAATGGATTTCAATTTTTGGAAATAGCGCATTTTGTAATGCATTTTTTGACCGTCAATTTTCAAGATTTTTAAGTTTTCATAGATCTATTAATCGACACTATTTTTTAAGCTTTAAACTTTATAAATAAAGATGAAAATATATTTTAAGGCTATGACAAAGGTTTCCAATATCGAAACCACATTTTTTGATACTATTTGAAGGTAGGCTCTAATTTGATTACACCCTAAATTTAATACCTTGGGTGTGTCACAAAGTCCGGTAAAGCTTATTTTAAAATTTGTGCATGATCAATAGAATAAATGCAACCATCTAATTTCACATTCAATAGTTAATATTAATTGTGACCACTTTGTATAGTTAAGATTAATTGTGACCACTTTGTAAGAAAGATAAATGATCTCATTATATATTGTTTCACAAAAAATGGCTAGAATAGTTTTTGTCCGAAGGAGCAAATGAACAGTTTGCTCTTAGTGGAGAATGAATTTATCTGGCTATAGGTAATTCCGGCCCGTGCGAGGGCAGTATCAAAACTTTGGCGGCACTTCATTTGTCCGCCAAAATAATTTCGACTTCACTCTTCTTTTCTTTCTCCTTAGCCCTTTAAGATCGAGTCACAATGAGAGCACATATTCTGCGACTACAAAGAATTTGAATTGCCTTCGGATTTTGATCCATTGATCATCAATAAGAAGCCGAAACCCTAAATGTCAAAGAGACTAATTGCACTAGGGCACGATCTGCACCTTTTGTTTGGTCCATCAATGTGAATTTGAGTGTTCTTTTACCGTTGTTCCTTTGAGTGGAACTTCGAGCTTTAAAATATGTTAGGTCGCCGTGTATTTGTATGAAATGTGTTGCAGACACTGGATTTACACTTGAATCTCTTGTTTCTCCTTGGTAATTTTGAAGAATAATTGGTCACAGAAGTGTGGATTTGGTTTCGAAGATGCTTCATGAAGTCCTTCTCGCTCTGCTGGGGTACACTGGAGATTTCATCGTTGATGAGATGGAAAATGCAAACCCTAGCTCAGGTTGCTTGTCTCGGGATTCTGATGTTGCAGAGGAATGTACTTTCAGTCTTGCTCCTGATATTACTTTCATCACAACCTCTCAAAGGTACGACAATATACATTTAGATCAATACTTTTGTGTATCACAATCTCAAATGATTTATGGCAACTGATTATTTTTAAGTGAGAAATGGTTGAATTGCAGTTCTCTCTCTTTTTCTTTTTAGTCTTTTGATTCTTTATAATAGTGGGTGGGGAGAACTGCTGTTGTACTTATATTACTGCACATATATCTGGTATTTGAAAGTTCCAATAAATGGAGTGAACAAAATATGTTTGAAAGTGGTATTCTTCACGATTTCGATCAATTGAAAGGAATGAGTTAACTTGTCTAATATTTATTGTGTGCGTGCAAACGAATCACTTGTTGGTTGTTTTCTTAGATCATACATAACAATTTTGTGTATGATCATTAATACCATTGAATTGAGAGTTTGTTGTTTTGTATATTTTATATGCCTGGTCCAGTGAATGGGGTACTCCTCTAGTGAATCTCACAATACTTATCAAAAGAAGGCTATTGAAGCTAGCAATTGTGTGCTGAAGTGAGTGTTTTTCATTGCAGGGATGTTCTTGAGAGGCTTATTCCTTTAGGATTCTACTACAGAGAACTTGACCGTTTTGCTACAAAGTCCCGCAACCTTAGCTGGATAAGGTTGATGCATGATGATCCTCAACCACATGTCTCCAATTCGAAAGGAAAAAGTAAACAACCAAGCGTCTATCGCAGGGCCTTGGCAAATGGCATTTTGGAAATTTTGTCTGTTTATAGATCTGCAGTTCTCCAGATTGAACAGACATTGTTGTCTGATCCTGTTCCCATTTTAGCAACTGTCGCTGAAGGCTTCAATAAGGTTGGTAGTAAGTTCATTAAGACTAAATGCTCTCCAGCTATTCTATTTTTTTCTTACTCTTCCCTTTTACGACTTATTAGATATTAGGTTTAGTGGTCAATATAGTAGTCAGGGGTAGATTAATCCCCTTAATTCGGGTTAGATTCATTAACTCACTTTTTTAACTATTCATTCACTGTCTTTTGTTCTGCCACCCTAACCATGTGTAGAAAGACAGACTTGGGAAATGATTTAGCCACCGACATGTTGGGTGGAGTACTGAAAAAAGGGAGGCCAATTCTGCCCCTTTCCAGTCATTTTCATTTATAGAAGGAACACATTATCATCAGCTTTCTCAATAATTGGTTCCTTCTCTGTGTTCTGTTTCTTTATCATAATGATATTTTTGTGTGTTTCTCATTTAGGGCATGATTTGTTGTTTGCTATAGATCATCTTGTTTTGTCATGTTCTCTTTTGAATTATGAATATTGATGTGGAACATTGTCATTTAGAAATAGTTACTTTCCAGTATGGTTTTACGTTTGTCCTTAAATGGTTTAGGTGGAACCATGTTCTTATTACTTTTGAGATGGTTTTGTGACTTGGTTCTCTTTAGTTTCATGTGTTGTTGCCACCACTTCATGAACTTATTTTGGAGGTTGAGCGTGGTGATATCCGCGGAGGACAACTTCTTAACTTATTACATAAACGATGTCATTGTGGAGTGCCTGAATTGCAAGCTTGCATCCAAAGGTACATTCAGAATTTTTTTACTTTTATCAAGTGATTAAGAATGTCTACAAGCTGCAGACTCATTTGAAGTCTTGGAAATGTGGGATACAGTTTCCTGAATCCTGAAACTCTATTTGATTTATTCTTGTCTTAAATTTACGTGGTTTTCTTTTATAAGTAGCTTGAGAACATCTCAAGTTTGTTTTATTTGTATTCCTAAAAGTGCACCAAGGACTTCATCATTGTCCGTCTATGCTGAGCGACCATCTTCTAATTCCAATCTAGGTTCTAAAGGAAGTTTGATTTATATGAAAGAAGCTGTGCCATCTAAAGAGTTGCATATTAAGGCCATGGGACAGCTCATCCCTCATGTATTGCTATACAACAAATAACTATCACCTAATTTATTGGTGATATTGATTCATCATGGTCATCTTGGAACCTTGTTAAATATTCATTCCTAAGAAATGTAATGTGGGGTAATGATATCTGTTTGCCGTCACCTGATGGTAGTAAATCCGATAGCTTCATAAAGGAAATCTGGTAGCATAGAATTTGAAAACCTTTTATATCAATAACATTGAATCACAATTCCATTGTTAAAGCCGATAACTTCATAAAGAGAATCTGGTAGCATAGAATTTGAAAACCTTTTATATTAATAACAATGTATCACAATTCCATTGTTAAATTGACTCTTTAAATTTTAAATCCCATCTTTAGATTACAATGTGGCATGTTCTAAAAGCTCCATCTCTAGATTAAAATGTGGCATGTTCTAAAATGCAGGCTACTATGGCATGGACACCAGGTTATGTATCACCAACTATCAGCTTGGATGGTTCATGGGATTCTGCAGGATCCATATGGGGAGTTCTTTATCCGAAGGTAGCAGATACATTTTCGAGTAGCTTATTTTACAAAATGGACTTAACCTCATCCATTTCCGTGTAAAACTTGGAACACTGTACGACAGGATATTTGCTTCAGTTACATTCGGTTGTTTTTTGTGGCGAGTTAAAACATATTAGATTTCTAAATGTTCCATGGAATTGATGGGAGTAGCATTTGTAGAATTAGGCTTAAATTTTGCAAGCTATCTTTGGATTCTGCAAGTCGTAAGTGATTTCATTGTTAGAGACAGTTCACTGGTTGATGGAAATATTTTTATTAAAAAAGAATGTTGTGTTGCAATATTCCGACATGGTCTAGCTAATATTACTGTCAATTGACATGCAAAGACAGATTTTTTTTTTATTTGTTGTAATCATGCAAATACTGATTGTTGTCATTCTTTTTCAATTAAAAACCTGCACGGACATTGTTGCCACTCTAATCATCATTTATTCTTATTTTTGAATTACTTTTGAACTTAAAATTTCATTTCGCAAGCATGTTTTATGAAGTAGGAATCGGCTCAAGGCTAGGTGGTCAGGGTGGCGGTGTGCCACAATGTGACGTCTTGGGTTCCATTCTTGCCACGGGTAGGGGGATTACTTCCCTGCTGAATCACCCAAAAAAAAAAAAGCATGTTCAAGGAAGTCATTTGACTATTGGGTTGGTGTCTTCTTGATATAAAGCTCATGAAAATGAAAAATTTCTGTGGCATTTCAATATTGTTCAGAATTGCACATGGAGTGACAATTTGCATCCTTGAAACTCCTTCATTTATTTATTTTCTTTCTTGGGTAATTCAGCAGTTGGTTTCAAACTTGGGAGGTTCTGTTGCGATTGTCAACAACTTAAAACTACTTTTGTAATAGTGAAGCTGAACTTGTAAGTTTTAAAATTATGAGTTGGTTTAAGCTTTTAAAGCTGGGTACTGTTTCGTAGTATCATACTTCATTGCTCATTTTCAATGTGGCATTTGCACAACTTTTATTCCAAATAATTTATATGACATCTGCATCTTGCATTTCATTTTATCATACACTATACGAATTTGCTAATTTTGTAGACAGCAAGATAAGGAGTTTGAACACTCTTCAAGCCATTCAGATCCCCTGTATAAAAAATTGGCACATAAATCACTTGAAGATGGCTCTATAACAGACTGGCACATGGGATTCCATGTGTTTTTGGTATGGATCTTTGACCTTGATCATGGGAATTTTTCTACATTTACGCATTTGCTTACTGAATGCTGCATTTCTATTCAAGTAATATATGATATCTTATTATAATTGTTGCATTTTATTGTATTGTGCAACAATACAACACACCATGCGCAATAATACACAATGCAAATTTTATTGTACTGTGAGTTTGTCATTGTAAATTCTCAAGAAATTTGTGCACAATTTAGTGGAATATCTCCAGTAGTTTGGCATTTTCTGGAGATTTCACTTGACTTCAAATTTCAGTAGGTTCATAATCCTGATTCTGTCTATGCTTTTACAAACTTTAGAATGTCAATTATTTTATGTTTTCCATCTTCTTGTTGATGCTGTGTTGAAAGGCTTTGTTAAAGCAATCCTGAAATCTTGCATTGTTTATTTCTTTGAATCGTATATTACTATTGACTTGTGTTAGAGCATATTGCAAAAGTTCCCTCAGAGTTCCCAAGAAAAGCAAAAGTTCCCCCAGAGTTCCCAAGAAAAGCAAAATTTCGATAACTTCCTTATGAACTACCTAGTTGAGAAAGCAATGGGACTTGTGTAATTGCACTCTAGAATGGTTTGGCCACACTCTTGTTCATTTTTAAGAGGTGTGAAGTTTTTCGTGACAAATTTAACAAGCCCCCTCGTCAGTATTTTTAGATGCATGATGTTGTTGGCAGTATAAATAAGAAATCGGGGTATTGTTTCCAAAGAATCATGATGATGTGGTTGATGGAAAACTGATTTTTAACAATTTCCACTAGATGTCCTTATGTTTTTTGCTCTTTCGTTATTGAGTTCGAGATGAGGGCATTTAATGCATCATCCCAAGTGAGGAGAGAAAATTATGGAAATATTAGAACAGATTGTTTTTTTGAAATTGATGAGAAATTTTTACTTCTCTACTGGCCAAGTTTGAAACATTTCACATAACGTTTTGGAAGTGTTGAGCATTTCTGCTTGGGACATCTTTTCATGAATTGAAACTATAACAAAGACCCATGGTTAGGTGAACTTGCTTTCAATGGAATTTGTGCTACATCTTTTCATGAATTGAAACTATAACAAAGACCCATAGTTAGGTGAACTTGCTTTCAATGGAATTTGTGCTAGTTCCCGCACTTCAGATTATTAACTCAATATAGTAATATCGATGACCACTTTTGTCAAAAGGTTGCCTGGACATTTGGAAGTATGGCTAGCCCCATATTAGATGCTAGCTGTAGCTTGGCTTGACTTGGTTTTCCAAGTGCAAGGGTGTAAGTGTATTATATCATTATCTGAAGCTACTTGCAAAAAGCTAACATTCATGATACACAGTTTAGGTATCTCTCTTGTACATTTTGCCGTGTTCACAGAATATTTGATGCTGCTTATATAACCAGTCTTTGCACTTATGTTCTTTCCTAGAAAAATACTTGGATCGTGGCTGTCGTCTTTCTAGTACAACACATCTAGCTTCTTATTCTTACCACTCTATTCCTTGAACATCTCCTTGCCAATTTCTCCATAGAACCTTGCCAAGACTGCTTTGCTTCTTATTAACTATTGTTCTTTGATAGCTATCTAGTAGAGGTCTCGAGCATTTGTTCCCCTTCTTCCTGTCCGAGACTGCCATTACTTAGGATAGATCCAAGTCATTGATACTGCCTACCTTTTTGGCTCGTTGTTAGCTCCATTTCATAGATGAAGTTCTTTCCATGGCAGATTTATTCAAATTCATGTGTTTATGGAATTCATCTCGGAAAATAATACTTGATTTATTTTTGTTCCCTGTTACTGTAATTTCCCTTTGATTGACTAGGGAAATGTCCCCTTCACATGGCTGCAATGTTCTTTCCCCCGTACATAGCTGATTATTTTCTTTTAGTATTTTAAAGGTCTAAAGATGGATGCCAGATTTACTTTCTTCCTCTTCTAATGACCAATATGGATGTTCGTGATTTTCGAATGTTGCACGACTTTTGGTTGTGAATTTCATGGATGTTATTCAATGGTGAGATCTGCAGGAGATGTTACCAGAGTACATCCATATGCGTGTTGCGGAATCTATTCTTTTTGCCGGTAAAGCAATAAGAGTACTACGTAACCCGAGCCCTGCTTTTCAAAGTCAAAATAATGCTCTCTATCAGCTCATTCAAAGAGGCCCTTTCAGAATTCGTGGGGCAATGGAACGTTTTGCTGGTCAGAAGGAAATCTCTACAGACACTCAATTGATTGAAGAAGAACTACTTCCACAATCTGAGGCGGATAAAATTGATTGCATGCTTCAGGAGTTGAAGGTTGTACTCCTTTCTTAATCCTCATTTCATGCAAAGTTTCTTGCTACTGTTGCTTCTTTGTCATGTTTAATTAGAACTAGTCTACAAGTATTCTGCTGTGACTCATGCATGCAGGCAGGGGCTCGTAATTAATTACTTATTGACTCAAATAATGATATTAAAGGAAAATTTACTTCTTAGTGGCAGGGGGACTGGCCTTATGAGAAAAACTAGAACATGGGCATTTCCATTTTAAAAGTCAAAGACTTATCACTTGTTCTGGTGATATTGGACATACTTATCCTGTTTCCTTTGTAGAAATGTTTTTCCTTTTGGTTATGAAGAAGGAAGGAATTTTTGGTCTTTTCAGAAACATATTTCCTTTTGCCTATTCATGAATTCCAATATTAGATTGCACAAGAAATCATTGGCACTTCCATGATGGCAGCTTCCAGATTCAAGCAGAAGGGTGAGATTAGTGGGTCGATTCATTATAAACTGCTTATGATCCTAGAAACGTTGAAGTAGTTTTAGGGAGTGGATTGACATCTGTAGGCCTTGGGCCATTTGTGCTATTGAAATTGTGTAATCCTTCATGTCGTTTGAGGTGTTGTTGACCGTTAGTTGCAAGTGAACTGGAATCTTATTTGTTTTCTGAATGTGCCTGGTACCTTAAATATTTGTTGCTCTTGGCATGCAGGCAGCAGCTGAGTTCCACAAGAGGTCCTTCGAGAATGTTGTGAATTCAATTCGTATAATTGCAGCCAACCACCTTTGGCAGGTAATGGAGAAATGGAACCTAGCCATTCTCATTTTTGTACCTATTTATCCTCTGAAGTTCTGGTTGCAGCTGGTGGTTGTAAGAGCGGATTTGAATGGCCACTTGAAGGCCCTGAAGGATTATTTTCTTCTTGCAAAGGGAGATTTCTTTCAGGTAAAGATGTTGTTTAACTGAAAATATTGAGGTCTTGGTGACCTGTTGTTTCTGGTAATCATAATTCCATGGCAGCTATTAATAGGTAGCTCAGAAGTTTAATCGTTTTGACTCAGGGTTTTTAAATAAAAGAAAATATAGTTGGATTGCCATAGTTTTTAAAAATTCTTGCTGACAATGTGAAATATGAAGGTTTTGTCCGAAAATATTTCTTACGAGCATGTTTTCTGGTAATATTCATCACAAAGCAATATGAAAAAGCATATCTTAATGGGATGTTCTCTATGTAATATGAGCCACTTGATAAACTGCCTGCAGTGTTTTCTTGAGGAGAGCAGACAGTTGATGACTTTGCCACCTCGCCATTCAACTGCAGAGGCTGACCTTAAAATTCCTTTTCAGCAGGTAAAGTGCATTACTTACTGATGGTATGTGTTAGAGCTTGCCCTAGCAGCCATGGGGGTTACCACCTGTACTTTGTGGCTGTCGTACATCCTGCCTATCAAGGAATAATGTTGAGCAAGAATACTTAGGAAGTTATATAAATTATAAAATGACTAGTCCAGTTAACGTTTTTGTCTGGTTGAGCTTCCATTGATGAGTTTTGGATCATTATAGGGGTGGCAACGGGTCGGGTTGGGTCCTGGTTTGGCCATACTTGGACCCAACCCACCGGGTCCAATTTTTGGACCCATACGCGGACCCGGGTCACGTCTACCCATTGGGTTCAGGTCCATTGCCACCCCTAGATGGTTATTGGGTTAAGTTTAGGTTCTAATTCTTGGCTGATGTAGTATGTGGATTGTATACTTAAAAAGGAATTTTTACCACAATTATTTTATGTTCCATATTGGTGATCGTATATTCCTTCCAAATTATGTTTGGAGAAGGATGAAATGGAACATTATAGTTCTCATATATACCTTCTACACAAATGAATCCAAATGTTGTTTCCGTAATTAATATACCATATCAAAATTAAAAAATTAGTTGATTTCCATGTTACGGCCTTTTTCCATTCTTAATTAAAAATCAAAATTTAGAAGACATTTCGTTTACTAGATAACTGTTGTGGTTGCATTCCAAAACCATCGCAAAGTCCTATGTACTAATCTTTTGCACTTTGGCTGGGGTCTCAAATGCATTTGACATGAACACCCTCCATGGCTTCATCATTTTGACCAATCATAAAAAGGAAATGAATTCCTTGTTTTGACTCGTGTAAAAGTCATGCCCCTCAGTCCATTCTGCATACTGGGGCTCATTTTGCAACTAGCCCTCTCAACCAGCCATAAGGTATGGATGATTTTATTTTTTTAGTGTCAATAGTACTTAAACTACATGTCCACATGTATTTGTCAGATAATTCAAGATTGTAGTCATTTTAGGAGATCCATGGACATGAGGTTCACATCCATCAATGTTTGATGGTAATTTTTGAATTAACTGATCAGGCTTGTTATGTAGTCCCTGCATTTTTTCCTGGTATGTCAATTTTCAAGAATCAACTTTAGCAAAACAGTCAAATGGAATGCACTTTTAATCTTTGTTTAGTAACTATATGTTTCCAAACTTTTACCATGTCATTATCTTTGCAGAACATCTTTACTTGAGGAATTCCCATGTGCTCTTCATGGCAATGGCTATAGAAAGTATCTCATAAAAGCTATTTAAGAATCTAATTATTTAAGCACTTTATGTGCATGATCCATAGTCTTTAATGCTATACGTAAAAGGATCATAATAATCAATGTAAATATTGTTGGCCATAATCTCTCACAATCATAGCTATGTGGAAACCAAAAAAAAAAGAAAAGGTCTCGGCGCATCATGTCTTTTATAGATTGATTTGTTCACTCATTTTATCAGCTGCATACTGAAGGATAATGTAGTGGGCACCCTCAATGCTTTTCTGTAGCGCATATGGTGTGTCTTTCGGTGCATTTACTGCCATTTTAAAACCTTTCCAGTGTCATACTTGTCTCCTGGTTCTTTTCCAATCTTCTATCTTGTATTTGTTGTGCAGTGAGTATAATTTTTATGATCAAAATAAGTGATATGGACGTGAAGTCATTTTCTTGCAGGCTGCAATCAAGACTATAGGGGATGATGATAGGTACTTTTCAAGAGTATCCCTAAGGTTAGTAAACTTTGAACTCAATCATCATTTGCTCTTGGTTGCCTAAATAGCATTTTGTTTTCAATTTTTTACGTAATGGAATTATTGTGTTATATAAACTTCCATAAGTGATATGTGCTTTATATTTCTACCATTTATTAGGATGCCAATTGCAGTCAAATCCTCTCAGATGGATATATCAAAGCTGAAATTAAGTGGTGATGGTGGTTCGGATTCCCTTTTGTTGGGGAGTGCTTTAGATCCTTCCCTTGATGGTTGGGATGCTATTGCCCTTGAATATTCTTTTGATTGGCCATTACAGCTATTCTTTACTCAGGAAGTGCTCGCAAAGTAAGTCTATGTGAATTGGTTAGAGCCATTTATCATTGACAACAATGCAAAGTGATATGTGATGTACATCTTTTTATTGCATAGTCGCAATACTTTCTTGTTCATTTCCCTGTTTCTTTGCATATTCCCAACTTATATATGGAAGCCTTTCTTCATATAGTATTTATGAGCATTTTCCAGGTATCGTAGACTCTTTCAGTACTTGATCAGGCTCAAGCGAACACAGATGGAATTGGAGAAAGCTTGGGCTGCTGCTATGCACCAGGATCACACAGATTTTGCTAATTATCGTAAAGAACGGTTGAAGTGTTTTAATTCTCGGCAGCGTCGACAAGGATCTAGCCCAATTTGGCGTGTTCGAGGGCACATGGCCTTTCTTATTACAAATTTGCAGTTCTACATTCAGGTTGGGCATTTAATGGTCATCCTGCATTCTTTTCCTTCAGTGAGGACTATTAATATCTTGTAAGAGGAGTATTGATATTTTCAGAGAGATTACTATTGATCTCAATACTTCTGAGATTTTTCTCGTATAGGGCATCATATTTGTTGGATTGTAGTAAGAGCAAATATGGATTTTCTTGGAATAGAGAACCTTGAGGAGCATATTTTCAAATATGAAAAATAGAAGATGATCTGAAGTAATTTTCATTTCATTTGCCATTCCATCATTACATCTTGTTGGACTGTATATTGTCCTTTCTTTCCTTTAGTGAAGGTTCTGCATAGGATAACATCTTATAAGCTTCATGCTCTATTACAATCTGGGAAACTATTTCCTATCACAATTGTTACTCATTTAGAACGCAAGTTTAATAATGATAAGAATGCAAATTTAATAATGTAGGAGTAGAAATGAGGAACTAATTAAGATTGATGGCCAAGAAATTCTTAAAAAGGGATTATGTTTTGATATCTTGGTTCAACAATCCCAGAGAATGGAGAGATTGAGGCATATGTCGCACATAGAATTAGAGTTGGGTGGGCAAAGTGGAGATGTGCATCTAGAGTATTATATGATAGCCACATACCAATGAAACTGAAGGAGAAGTTTTATAGGACGGCTGTAAGACCAGCAATGCTTAATGGGACAGAATGTTAGGCGGCCAAGAAACAACATGTCAATAGGATGAGTGTAGCGGAGATGATGATGTTGAGATGGATGAGTGGCAATGCAAGAAAGAATAAAATTAGAAATGAATATATCCAAGGGAATTTAGGGGTGGCTCCAGTAGATGAATACATGAGGGAAAGTAGACTTAGGTGCATCGGCCATGTGCAGCATAGACCTAATTCAGCACCGGTTAGGAGGGGCGATTTGGTTCAAGTGGAAGGCTTAAGAAAGGCAAAGGGAAAACCCAGAAGGACATGGATGGAAGTAGTGAGAAGAAATATTGTGACTTAATAGTCTGTCTAACGGTATGGACTTTTATAGAGCAGAATAGTAAAACAAGATTCATGTAGCCAACCCCAAATAGTTGGGATAAGGCTCGGATGACGACGACGATGATGAATTGGTACTCATTTACCATTCTTGTTTTGCATAAGATTAAAAACCCCTATAGTTTGTATTTTATAAATTGATGATCATATTTTTTATGAAATCTTTTGTTTCAGGTTGATGTCATTGAATCTCAGTGGAATCTGTTGCAAGAACGTGTTCAAGCTTCTCATGATTTCACAGAGCTTGTGGGCTTTCATCAAGAGTAAGGAAAATGAGATTGCTTCTTGTGAGTTTATTTGGCAAGTCACTGCCGTTTTCCTCGACATCCGAAGTTTTACTTCTCATGACTGGAAATATTTAATTGTACTTGTTTTTCAACATTTGAAAACTTTCCTTCTTAGCAAATTTGTTTTCTGATCTTGTGCTGCTATCAATACTGATATTACTCTTTGTTAAGCATCAGCAAATTAATAGTTTTCAAATGAGCTGCTGAGCTTCGGATATAATACATGCAGATATCTGTCAGCTTTGATATCTCAATCCTTTCTGGACATTGGGTCGGTCTCAAGGATACTGGATAGTATCATGAAGCTCTGCCTGCAGTTTTGCTGGAGCATTGAACGCCAAGAAACCAGTCCAACTACCTTGGATTTGGAACATATAAGTGAGGTAGGGACTTAGTAGGCCTGCCTAAGATGATTAATTTTTTAGTGTTGTCTTTCAACTAACGAATTCGTTGGGACTACTATTTTGGAATATGTGGAATTATTTTAGTTGGTTTATTTTTTCTGGATCTGAGTTGGTAAGGTTAGGGTATATATTTCTATTATCACCTTTAAGAAAGTTACTTTTTAGTTGCGAGATGGGGAAATGAACCCTGAACTGTGTCACAGTTGGACTCCAATCAGAAATTGGAAAACGTTTAGAGAATTTTGGAGATTGGCGCATAGCAATAACCCGTGATTTTTTCATTACCTTGGAGACCATGAGAAGCATTTGGGAAATGGGGAAAATGCCTGGAAACCAATGGACACAGAAGGTGTCTATGGGGAAAAAAATAGGAGAAACACAGTGACATAGGGGGTGGTAATTAAGACCCTGTTTCTACAGACCATTTATTAACAAATAACTCTGTTTACTCCTATGCCATTTAGGGATTGTACAAGGAAATAGCTTGGTCTGCTCTGCTGTTCCAGGATATGGGCCCTTTCTATTCCCCGGGTATTAGGAAAACACTCCAAAATGCTCTCTTCCCTTTAAACCAAGATTTTCTTTTGCAGTTATTTCCGAAGAACTCCATTTTTAATGGAATGGTTTTACTGTCAAAATGGAGCAGTGGACTTGGTTGATATTCACTTCCTACAAAATTGGAAAACTGGATCGTAGTAGTTCTCAATAAGCATTTCTTAGGGCATTAAGTTTTTTCCGACAAGCATTAATATTTGACATCAATATGGTTCATTCATGCTTGTCTATTGTTTTGAGCTAGATGTTGCTGTATTTCTGAATGAACCTTGAACAATTTGTCCCCCAATCTAATTGTTTGTACAAAGCAAAGTATCTCGAGTGATTTTTGTCCAAAATTGTCCACCAATCTAACTGTTTAAAAAAACTGAAAACCTATTTGCATTGCTTTCCTTTTAGACAATATGCTTTCCCTCGTGATTTTCATTCATTAAATGTTGGTTTTGTATTCAGTGTTGCCCAACTCTATTTGTTATCCTTTCTTCATAATCATTAAAAAAAGGAAATATATTTATGAAGATCTTTTGGTTCACAGTCTTCTAATGTTAAGCATGCAGCTTTTGCATGAGTAGATCAAATTGACATGCTCTTGTTTGAGGAATATGGTTGAATTATGCTTCACTTTTGTTTTTTACTGCTTTGATATTCATAATCCACCCCCCACAAAAAAGAAGAAGAAAAACACTTTGCCTTCCCCTGTAAATGTAGACTCTGTTGCTTAAACTGTTCTTTCATGGTATACTTTTCTATGGTATTTCAGGAATTTAATAAGAAATCGAATTCCCTGTACACTATTCTCCGTAGTAGCAAGATTGCAGGGAGCCAGCGGGCCCCCTTTTTGAGACAGTTCCTGCTACGCTTGAATTTCAACTCCTTTTTTGAGGTAACTGATTTCTCCATTTCTATCTTTAATTTCTTTTAACTTTGTTTTGTTTAAACAGGGAACCTTGATTCACTATGTTTGTGTTCTGAGCAACAGGCGACTGCAAAAGGGGTGCTGAACATTGTGAGATCACGCCCGACCCTTCCTGTCTCTCATCAGTGATCACGCCCGACCCTTCCTGTCTCTCATCAGTAAAGGAAAGTTCTGTAAATTTTATTCAATTATTTTTTTTCATGTGTCATTTGCCTTGTAAAAATTATTGGTATCCATTTATAGAATCACAGGGTTTTTTTGGCAATTTTATAGTTTATTTTTTATTTGTATTTTTATTTTTATTTTATTTTTATATTTTTGTGAAATGGCCCTGATTTTGAAGAAAGTGTCCCTTATTAGTCAAATGGATTTGAATATGGTACTCCAAGGCTTTATTACCAAGGTGAATACGTCTCTATTGGCCCCGTCTGTGTTCTCCAATGTCCAACCATTGTTAAAACTAAAAGGGCACGGTAGATGTAGCATTGGAATTTCTTTTAACAGAGTCCACATGTCTTGGTTATACTCTGCATGAAAGAAATATTAAACCTTTCTTTAATTTCTTGAGGAATGATCCTGTGTATTATAAATATAAATAGTTGGAGTCTGTCTAAATTTTGGACCATATATTCTTAAAATCTAAGAAAAGCACTATTGACGTGGACCAATATTTGAAAAATTGGCTGAGTTACTCGGGCTCGGGAAGTGGCTGAGCATGAGTTGTCTTGAGTTTTAGGTCTAACTCTAGGATATTAAAAAATAAATTATATATATATATATATATGATCCTATGAGACCCTCCTATACCCATATGTGTAGGATCTTAAAGGATCATCATTAAATTTGGCACAGATTTTAAAAAACGTAAAGTAGGTGTGATAATTTTTTTAGAGATTTATGTCAAATTTAATGGTGATCCTTTGGGATCCTACATACATAGCTGTGGGAGGGTCTCATAGGATCATTACTCTATATATACATAAGGAAAAGTAACCTTAAAATGTAAAATTATAGATTCACCTCAATCGGAAAGGCTGTTTTAATGTTGAAAAATCCTCTAATTGATCATCTCAATGTCAAGATGTATGAATATGAAAAACAAAAGTTTTTGAGTCCCATAAATAGTGCATCTTGTAACATTATCTAGACTGACTATTTTCAAGATTTTCATATGTCTATATATTTACTTGATTTTAACCATTTTTGGAATTTAAAATTTTTTAATTAGATATGAAAATAGATTTTAAGATAATTCTAAGAATTTTTTACAACAAAATTACATATTAAATTTGGATGTGCGTCTTAATTGGATTGCTTAAGGTTGCGGTTGCAATCCGATAGAAACCGCACCATATATATATGTATATGATCACATGCATTTGGAGTTATATATATGATCTCATGCATTTTATGATCGCATGCATTTGGAGTGTGAGAAATTGAATGGCCTTATGAAACGTTCAAAAAAAAATTGAATGGCCTTATGATCCCATCATGGCCAGAGAGAGAGAGAGAGGGAGACAGAGAGAGAATTTGAAATGGGACTGAGATCCCAGCATGTGGTGAAAGGATGGTTTTGAAAGCTAGAATCAGACCGGATGGTTTGGACTTTGGAGCTCTGGTTGAGGCCATTTTTTTGGTTTGTTTTGTGGACCAGGCTCGAAGGTTGCAACTCTCTCCGTCTTGGGGTTGATGGTTCAGCCTGGTTTCCATATAAACACGAGTGACGTGTTTAGATTTTCTTCAGAATAGAAGATTATTATGTGTTGGAAAAGTTGTTGGCCTCAGTTGATATGGATTTAAGAATTTATGTTGTGAAACTCATTTTAGATCACTGTAAAACATTGTAGATTACCCTCCTTTTCGCGCTTTATCCAAGAATTTTCAGCTTAAAAGATATTATGGTTTTGATCTTTATTATTCGAGCCTTATCTCAATTATTTGGATCGGAAAAAAAGGTTCCACAAGGTTTTCAAATAAGATAAAATTTGAAGTTAAAACTTTACATTTCTTTTTAGATACGCAATTAGTGCGCTTTTGATTATTCACTAGTGAAATTTCGGATTTTAAATCCATCTACTAGATGGATTTTGGAGGGTGGATGCACTAGAGTGGATTGCATTGCCTGATGCACCAAAACTATAGCCTTCATGTTTTTTGCGCCTCTACTTTAAAAAGATCATCAAATTGTCAAACCACCTCAACAAATTATTCAATCAACCAATTTAGCAATAAATGTGATATTTAAAAATAGGGTGGGGTTTGTATAGAGCCCAAGTTCTAAACAATCACAGTAAAGTGCACCGTCAAATAGTGTCAAGAAATGTGGTTTCCATACTATATATTTTTATGATAGCCTTAAAATATATTTTTATCTTTAATTATAAAATTTAAAGCTTTAAAAAATAGTGTAGATGGAGCAAATATATGAAAAGTTTAAAATCTTGAAAATTGACAGTCCAAAAATGCATTTCAAGATGCGCTATTTCCAAAACTTCAAATATTTTCTTTCTCATGTCCATGCATCTTAATGACGAGATGATCAATTTGAGGATATTCGAGCATCAAAAGAACCTCATACATTCTTGGACCAAGGGGGAAGCCATTGGAAATTTTTTGTAAAACCAAGGAAAGCACATGAAAATGTCTTTTGGACTTGTGAGCACGAGATGTCCATTTCACATTTCATTTATAGCTAGATTTGGTCATCAAAAACTTGCATCAACATTTGTTTTCTAGCTATGGTGATGGGGTTTTTATAATAATTTAAGGTCAAACAATGGCGGCCTTGACTTGACACCATTTTTTCTTCCTAAAATAACTTGATATTATTCACAGCATTTTATTTATTGTCAAATAAAACATTTGATTATTATTATTATTATTATTATTTTATTTTTTTATTATTATTATTATTATTATTATTATTATTATTACTATTACTATTACTATTACGATTACGATTGCGATTACGATTACGATTACTATTACTATTACTATTACTATTCTTACTATTACTATTATTACTATTACTATTAGTATTATTAATAATAATATTATTATTATTAAAAGCCCTCTAATTGATGATCCCGACATCATAATGTGTGAATATGGAATTTTTTTTTTTAGTCCCATAAATAGTACATCTTGCAACATATTATGTAGAACATACATTTTCTAAGATTTTCATAAGTTTGTAAATCTACTTGATTTTCATATGTTTATCTAGACCGGACAT